GATTGATGATTCAAGCAGACTGTTTTCTTCAACAGTCTCTCTTTCCGAATTAAGGAAGGCAGATGTCGCCTCAACCTATCGAACTTCTGGAGACAACATGACATTGCGGAGAATTCGGAGATCTTGACGGTAAAGTTCAGTACCCGTATCGTACGTTACCATAGTCGTGTTTTTTACATTCTATTCACTGACAGCGATTTGAAGCTATTTACACCAGAGGTACATCTGTACACTGGTGAAAAGAGGAATCACGGCTTAAAATGCACGGGGAAGTCCTCCGTCTAGGTAGTTAGCTACTGGTATAAATGTTAGCTTCTGCTCTTGTGACTGGAGATTGTCTACTTTTACATAGGAACTAGGAATGATACACGGCCTCGCAGAAAACAAGCTGAACCTAAGCTTATATTTAACTCGAGACCGACGTCCATTGAAGAGTATGTCTCTTGAACGTCAGGAGTTTATAGTTAGCCAAGCTTTTCGACGATCAGAGCAATGAGTAGTTCGCATCATCTGAGTAGTATGCCACGTATGTAGTTGGTACTGTTTATCGCAGATTGAACCAGGTCAGACCATCCACAAGGGTGTCCAAATCTTATGCTCAGAATGAGTATCAAGACTATAGTTAACTGATCTCAGCTTGTGACACTGAAATTATTCAACAAGATGTTGCAGAAAATACCTTCACCTGCAGGGCAATTAGGGCTCAAGGTGAGGGCTGATGAGTCAACAATTCCGCTCCGATCACGGCATTCCAGAGCGGGAAGGATTAATGTTTGTCGAAGGCGTGATTGTGCCACTGCCGGCGAATTTTTGATCTCGCCGCCGACTCCTTGGATTGCGTTCTTCTGACTCTAAATCGCAATCAGTGTCTTTGATTTGAGATATAGGCCCATTATGCCCGATCAACCTGCCACGAACGGTACGACAACTCCGGTCACTGCAAAGCTGAGCAACCTCGCTCTGACTGAGTACACCGCCGCTCCCACTCCCCCCTCGGAGAAGGACCAAAACACCGCGCTGGGCTTATCCCGAGACTGGGGTATCCCAAATGCATTTCTGCTCCCCAATGGCTACCCAGATGTAAGCTCCTCACTCAATGGGTCTGGTTCCAGAATACAATTAACCACCATCCTGGCGACGCAGTACCTTCGCCTTATCTTGACGTCACGGGTCTACGATGTTATTCAGGAGACACCTCTCCATCACGCCATCAATCTTAGCAATCGTCTGGAATGTCGGGTGCTTCTCAAGCGGGAGGACATGCTCCCTGTATTCAGCTTCAAGCTCCGTGGAGCTTACAACAAGATGGCGCATTTGACCCCCGAGCAGCGGTGGAAGGGTGTTATTGCATGCTCCGCAGGTCAGAGCCTTCCAATGTGGTGACTCGCCTCGAGGAGAGCTGACAGGTATATAGGTAACCACGCACAAGGCGTTGCATTTTCCGCCCGCAAGCTCAAGATCCCCGCGACCATCGTCATGCCCTCGGGCACCCCTGCCATCAAGCATTTGAATGTTGCGCGTCTCGGCGGCAGTGTCATCCTTCACGGAAACGACTTCGACGCTGCCAAGGAGGAAGCTCATCGACTGGAGAAGCAGCACGGTCTCACCAGCATTCCTCCCTTCGATGATCCGTACGTGATTGCGGGACAGGGTACCATTGGAATGGAAATTCTGCGTCAAGCAAACTTGGAGAAACTCGAGGCTGTTTTCTGCGCTGTCGGCGGAGGTGGGCTGATTGCCGGTATCGGGGTTTATCTGAAGCGCATTGCGCCGCATGTGAAGGTTATCGGAGTCGAGGCCTACGATGCCAATGCCATGGCCCGGTCGTTGGGCGAAGGATCTCGAGTTTTCCTTAGGGAGGTTGGACTCTTTGCGGACGGTGCGGCTGTGAAGACTGTGGGAGAGGAAACATATCGTCTTGCCCGTGAGGTAATTGATGATGTCATTTTGGTTTCGACCGATGAGACCTGTGCCGCCATCAAGGATGCGTTTGAAGATACCAGATCTATCATCGAGCCCGCTGGTGCCCTGGCGCTCGCAGGTCTCAAGAAGTACATCTCCCAGAACCCTAGCCCCGACACCAACCGGGAGCTGGTCGCCATCACATCTGGCGCAAACATGGACTTCGACCGCTTGCGATTTGTGGCTGAGCGTGCTGCTTTGGGAGAGCGGAAGGAGGCGCTGCTAAGCGTCAACATTCCCGAGAAGCCTGGTGCTTTCGCAAATCTCGTCGAGGTGGTCCTTCCTCAAGCCGTAACCGCCTTCAGTTACCGTTATGCTCGTGCCGAGTCCGCCGATGTCCTGATGGGTATCTCCTTGTCTGCGCTGACAGGTCGCGAAGACTTGGCGAAGATTATGGATCAGCTCGAAAAGGCGGGCATGCCCGCGAAGGATTTGAGCGACGACGAGCTTGCCAAGCGACACGTGCGTTTCCTGGTTGGAGGACGCTGCGACGTCAAGGATGAACGTCTTTTCATGTTCGAATTTCCAGAGCGTCCAGGAGCTTTGGCCAAGTTCCTCACGACGCTCCGGCCCAACCAGAACATCTCCCTGTTCCACTACCGCAACTATGGTGGTGATGTCGGAAAGGTACTGGCAGGCATTCAGTGCCCGAATGACGAGAAGAAGGATCTGGAGGCCTTCCTCAACGACCTCGGCTATCCGTTCAGCGAGCAAACTGACTCTCCCACCTACCAGACATTCCTACGTTGTTAAAAATAATACGTGCATCACATTTTCTCCGTTATTTTGCGTTTCTGCTAGAGGGAATACTTGACTGGGTCAGGTTGTTAATTTTCTCTCGGGATGAAAAGAATACTGTATTTTCGTCGGCGTTCGGGTCGAAGCATCAGATAGATTAGAGGTTGAAGCCTGCTTTTAATGAACTGGCTTGTATATAGCAATGGATTTCAATTCTCATCTGCTTGAGATTACGAGGCGAGAGGATATCTTAGCAGCAGCGGATCGGCTGTAACCATCGGTCAACGATCAGAAGCGACAGATCATCGTCAGCTTGAAAATCCAGTCACTTTCAAGCTGGCTACTGAAGGCCACTCTTTGAGGCCCTGATGTTGATACAAGTCACCAACCGCCCCAGCGCTGCCTGCATTCTATGTCGTACCACTTCTCGGCCCAGTAATTCCAATTCGTCGGAGTCTCTCGAGGTTGATCTCCGCGTTTATAGATCGAGAAAGCAAGCTTTCTTTCTTTACCCCACATCGCCGGGTAGACCCATTCTCCGCGAGCGGTTGCCTTTGAAGCGTCAAAGTCGAGATATCCGGTGTGTTCGTCGCCCTGATCGACCTCGATTTCCGCGTCGACCACTCGGCCCCCCCACTGGAGGTACACACGATTCGGTTTGGGGGCCTCACCCAGCCGGCGTCTGATGGCTTGTCCTCCTGATGGTTCGCTTGCTTTGCGTTTTTTCGAGGTTGACCCATAGCCATCGGACTCATCTTCCTCGTCCTCTTCGTAATAGGTCAACTCAGGAGGCTGTTCTTCAAGGAGACGGTGCAGTGAATCATGGGACAACGCTAGCAGCATGGTTCCTTCAATGAGACCCAGATTGAACGCGGCCACTACTCCGTTTGCGCTGGCTGGTTTCTGGATCTCGAGCGTCAGCTCGTCATGATAATTACCCAGGTGTTCATCTATTGCTTCACAAAGAATGGTATACGATCCCACGAGATCGTCCAGCGTCAGCGGACCGGCGGGAGGGCGGTAGCTTTTCATATAATCCCGATGAGGCTGTAACGCTTTTTGCCAGCATTCTTGCCTTTGTGCGAGCTTTTTGGCTTCTTCTTCAGCCTTTTCTCGTTCCCTTTCATCTTCATATCTTTCCTTAATAGCCATGACTTTGGCGATGTCCCAGCCAACGATCGTGTACTTGCTCCACGCACCTTCAACCTGTATAAGGTGTAGCCCTGGTATTGACTTTACAACACTTATGAGGCGTGGCAGATGCTCAAAGAATGGGTAGAGCTCGATTGGGTCGGCGGTCTTCTTCGGATCAGGCTTGCCATTCAAGCCGTCAAGGAAATACTTTGCCATGAAACGGTCAAGGTCGAAATTAGCCTCAGATGTGGGGGTGTGAAACCGAGCTCCAGGTGCAGAACAAGTCGCAAAGGCAGCATCGAGTCCACGGTCGAAGCTATCTTCCCATCCAACTAAAGTCAGTCGCCTAGTGATATGTGCGAGAAGACCGGGTACTCCTCGCACAGCCTTTGAGAAATCTGATCCATCAACATCTTCAAGGATCAACGCCTCTCGTTGCTTCTCTTTATCTGGGGCCCCGGTCGGTCCGAGGAAATACTTGGCAAGGAACAAGCGAGGATCAAAGCGAGCCTCGAGAGGAGACTCCAGCGTTGCAAATTTAGCCGCGTATTCACGGTTGATACGTTCCTCACGAGCTCTTTCCAAGTTGTGGTATTGTTCAGCCAAGGACCTTTCAATGGCCATCACTGCTGGCGTCGGATTTACGCACTTGGGCGATCAGTCCACTCCCACGTCGTGGTAGTCTGATCCGCTTTTCTCACCTGTCTGTTCTTCACTGCAGCCTCTAGAGCACTCTTTAATTGAACTGCACTAGCCTTTGCCTGAAAAGGGATTCCGTAAAGATGTAACTGCGCTGTAACCCACGCCTTGGTTGCAGACCTGACGCGAGCACTAGACGCATTTTTGCGAAAGAGCAGCCTCAATTCCTGAAAAGAGGCTCGGGTAAAACATCCCACTTTGATGCCGTCTTTGTCGTAGGTGAAGACGCCTGATTTAGGGGCTCCGGTGATGGCGGAGGATCATAGTATTGGTAATACATCTTTGGAGATGCGGTTGAAGCAGTTCTTGGAGTTGTGACAAGTAGGTTTCTGTTGTTTACTATCTCGGGTTACCTCCGCGACTGAGGAACGGGAACCCTAGAAGCCTGCCCTAATGGCTGGAATAGGAACAACATAGGATGGATCAATTGGCAAGGACATCAATAACTGGACCGTTTTCTGCAAATCATGCAGGCGAGGTGGGAGAATGGGGTAATTCTGCCTCTCTTAATTAATGTGGCTTATTAGCCATAAGACCACATGCCTGGCTGGTGATATATATCTAGTTGGACCGTATCAGTGTATTCCTGTCCATTGGGCCATGCCTGTTGATCACTTTCAGCAAAGCTGATACCGCTGGCAATTAGCTTCGATATAAGCTAATGTTTCATGTCAGCAGTTGGAAAATCATTATAAAACCAACATTGAAAGTAGATGATCGTCATTTGTCCAGTCTGCCTTGGTGCACTGCCCCGCCGGCGTCAATGTAGCAGAAGTACTATAAGAGGGTGCCAAATGCCCTGACTTGAGTTTCAGACATCGTCTATTCTCGGCCGCAAGATCTCCCTTTGGATGAAGGAGAATACGGGGATCAGCATGGGCAAGTCCTTCTTTGACAAAGATCCCTCCTGGACCCGGTACGAAGTCTGGGGCGCCACCAAGCAGGACCCGAACCTCCCCACCGTGGCCGAAGTCTATGTCTCGGTGAAGCACCGGGCTATTCTCGCCAACCGGCTGTTCCGCGACAACAATGACCTCTACAAAAACGGTTTAGAGCTCAAGGACAGACTGCCCATGGCGGAGTGGCTCTTCCAGTCGTGGAAGAAAGCCGTTGCGGAGGGCAAGGCCGACTACGGCGTTGATGTTAAACTGAGCGATCTCAAGTTTATCGTCGGCACAGACGTGGGAAATGACGAGGCTAAGGCAATCGTTAGGAAGGCGCAGCAGGAAGTCGGCGGCAACAACGTCAGATTCACTGTCAGAGCTTCGGATGGGCAGCCATTCGAGGCCCTCGCTGCCTCGAGTAGCGGCAAGTCCAAGTACTACATGCTGGCCGATCATAACGGTCCATCCGAGCTGAACAAGCTGGTGCCTCAGAGGGCAGAAATCTCACTGGAGGACGAGGGCGGTACGCCTGCTATTGCTTGGATTCTTGGGCGCGATTGAGCCTTGGATTATGCATGGAGAAGGAAGTGATAGCGTACTGCTGTTTGTCTTCCACGTCTGGTCTCTTTGTTTCTTATACTCTGATGGGTAGAAGTACCGAGACTGTAGGTATTCTGTGGTAAGAGAGGAGAGGGAAGAGAGGAAAGAGGGCATGTATGTGTTTGATTTTTGAGGGGTTGCTATGTTTACTAGCTTTTTTGAGAAGATTAATTTCAAGTGCATTATTGCAATGGATCCCAACTGTGCGGGAATAACTTGGAAAGTCTGGAAAGCTAAAGTGAAATAATCCCGGAGAGGGTTGGGTTAGAATCTGGGAGATACACCATACTACATTTGTAAGGCTTCATCGAGCAGCAAGAAGCGTGAAGGTAGTATTGTACGTTAAAGAAACAAGCTGTGGTCACTGCTATTGCTGGACATATCAAGCCGGAAGCAGCTCCTACAGCAGCGGACAGAATATGCTACAGAATCGGGTATACTACCCCAAACGAAGCTTTCCCACATCGCATATTATACTATCCAGTTATGAGCCAGACCACTTCCATACAGCAGCAGCATTCAAACGACCTTAGCAGAAAAATAGTGATGGCACGGAGGAGGAGGCGGCGGATCGCAAGGAAAGTCCCCATTCTTGAAGCGATCCCCAATAATGCTTTGCAAGGGATCAACCTCATGTGCTCCGAGCTTTGTCAAGGCCTCCACAAGAGTGTCTTGGCGCCAGCACATGGCCATCACAATGGGAGGCGGATATCCCCTTTGGCTGTAAATGGCGTCGTCGTTCAGTGGCGCGCCGTGGTCAAATAATGCCTTGAGATATTCGAAATTGCCATGCACGCACGCCAGAAACACGAGGTCTGCCAGTACGGGGCCGTCGTCCTCGTCGGGAACAAGCAGGAGACTCACACGGAGATGCCCGTCATCAAGGATCGTTCTCGCGAGCTTCGCCGCGTTTGGGTGGCAACTCAGGATAAACATCACATTAGTCCAGTCACAGATACTTAGCCGAAGGCCAGCGTCGATGAGGACCTCCATCGCGTCGTAGTGACCGCCCCAAGCTACTGCGCGCATTGCCTGGGGACCAGGAGGAACATCGATTGATCTGTCGGCGTGCTCACCGATGCTCGCCCCCCTGGCCAGTAGGAGACGCATTACTCCCACATGGCCTTTCCAGCCGGCGTACGCCAGAGGCAGTGGTTCTAGAGTCTGCCTATTGTAGTCGAGCGTCTCATTGACGTCGGCTCCGTTGTCAAGGAGGAGACGGACGAAGTCAACGCGGCCCGACCTGCAAGCCTCCCGAAGGCCTTCCGTCAAAAGATAGCGCGATTCAGATAGCGGTGCGGTGTAATGGTCCAGTAGCGTCGCCACAGCTTCTGTCCGATCCATGCTCATCGCCTTGACAATTGCGCGCTGATACGCCACGCCAGAGGTCCTGAGACCGAACTCGGGCCGCAGGAGGAGTTGGAGTATCTTCGCGCTCCAATCTTCAACGGCCACTACCACCGGGGAGTCCCAGCTTTTCTCATCTGAGTCCACTGGGTGCATCCTGGCGCCACGCCGCAGAAGCATCTCCACGATCTTCGGATCGAGGGACTTGACCGCTGCCTCGATAAGTCGATCCTCGAACAGCCCCGACTTGGCATCCTCGCGGATGCGGCGCGTATCCTGCGATAGTTGATCCACAAGTTCAAAGTCCCTGTTATACGTTGCTGCAAACAACAGTTCATAAGACGGGTCAAAAGCAATGGAGTCACTCTCGGCCGCTAAAACGACGCGGCAAACCTTGTGCTTTGTGTGTGATATAAGTCGCTTCATGAATTGATAACGCAACTTGTTTCTCTCGCTACCCTTGGTTGAGTCCCGCACAAGACGATCCACCCAGTGGTTCATCAGGGATATGATATCAGTGCCTGAGGAGTCATCGTCGTCCCGTCCCTGATGAAGGAAGTAGGCCACCATGAATCTTTCCTGTACGCTCCAACTTCGCTCCCAGAATAGCCTATCCCCCCCCAGGATTCTGATCCTGGCGTATGCAAGCATGATTTTATGGTCCAACAGTCCTAGAGGTTCAGCATTCCAGCCACGTAATGACTACTAGGGGGCGATGCAGACTCACGATTTACCAGACGAAGCTGGATCGATCGGTGTCTCTGTTGGATAACAACAAAATCGAGAATTCCTTGGAAGATTTCCAAGGGGAGGTCAAGCAACGACATATTGACGTTGGATATCCAACACAGGGAGCAAATATGTCATGAGAATCATGAAGACTAGCGATATATACTCTGGCGGTAGAGCGAGGGGCATTGCTCTCCGTCATTGAGATGCAGGTCCACAGCCACCAACTTGATAAGCTCCGCCTCGTCGTATTCTCGGCTGTATGAATGGTGAAGGCTCCCGCAACGTTTCACTTGCCTTTCTCTCCTCAATGTTCCCTTTCACCAACAAAACAGAGCATCGTCAGTGAGCCGCGCTTCAATTCTGGTCAAGCACTGACCCGGGCTTGTGTCGTTCCAGGTATGGGTTGAAGCAGAACCTGATGTCCTGACTTCATGTAGTACATTTCATCACGATCGAGGGTGCCTCGTAATGATACCTGATACAAATGCTGCCATAGTAGTAACCCAGAGACGAAGTAAATCGTTCCATCGAACCTTGACTGCATGCAGTACCTGCTACCTACCTATGGATTGGTGGATGGTGATGGGCCCGGATCTCGGTGATACAGAAACTCCGACGAACATTTGCTCCGCGGATTTGATGATCACCTTGGGAGCATGAAGCTGACCATCTGACCGTTTCACCTCTGAGCGGCCGATCAAGAACGATTTGTCGCGGTAAAGGCTACCATTCCTTTCCGCTATTCTGTACCATGCTGTCCATCCGCTCCATCTTGGGTTCTTCGACTCGGGCCCTCCGCCAGCTTCTCCCGAGTCAACCATTCTCTCACCAGTTCCTCTCGCGGTCACTATCGCAACTATCAAGAGTATCGGTCGGCAACAGCCTTCGGAGCTTGCGTTCTGCGAAGCAGCAAGACGCCAATGTGGGTGTTGTGGGGTCCACTGTGCGACAACTCGAGCAGGTTCGGGGCATGAAGACGAGGTCGTCCGTTAAGCGGTTATGTGATGGTTGCAAGGTACGAGTTATACTGCCTGCATGGTCTACAACATACTAACGGCTGGTTGTCAATAGCCTGTTCGGAGGAAGAACCGAGTTTACATCATCTGGTCAGTATCGGCGGCTCCCTTTGCATTCGATAGGTCTAAGTCTGACCACGTACAAATACAGTTCGAAGAATCCTAAGCACAAGCAACGTCAAGGAAAATAATTGCGTGCAGCATAGAGCAGAGGAAACGGGGAAACGATCCCCATCTACTGTTTGAACCATGAAGGAAGCCTTATCAACTGTATCACGGTACGGTGCTTGGTCGGATTCGGCACAGACATGCTTCATTGGACATATGGTTTCGTTGTGATACTCGGGATATGCATGCTCAACTTTATTATCGGTTATTGGTTCCGGCGCTCGTGTTATTGTGTACATTAGACAACTTTCTCACTATGTCACTTCTTTTCAGAAGACCATTCTCCTCTACATCTGTTTCGTCTTAAATCCCTGCACTCGTTCAACCAACCCTCTCTCAGACCTGCCACCTTATCAAGAATTCTGCACTTCGAGCTTAAGTGACGTCCAATGCTCTCGGAAGAAGAGCGTCTGAGTTCAGATATCGTGTCGCTTCACTTGGTACGAGATTCCACTGCTCCCACCAAATTGCACTGTCACTCTATCGCAGGCCACGGTCATTGGTTGATGAACGAGCAATAGCATGCGCACAAGTAGAGAAGTATGAATCAGTGGCTTCCTTGACTTAGTGCGAGCAGACACTCCTTTTGATGTTGCAAGATTTGGCCCAGGACTTTGTCGCTCCTGTGGCTCAGGAATGCGGGATGAACCCCCTGCTTTGGTATGTTTGCTCTAGGACTCGAGAACTTCTCACCCGTGTCCAAGTCCACTTACACTGTGTGAACTATCTAACAGCCGCTGGGTAAGAAGCGAGTTTGGACAACCTCCAATATCATGGTTCGCCGTTACGCGCAACTCCTGGTCTTAATTCCAGCGACCACCGCAACACTGCTATTCTCGCAGCAAACGCTTGATGGAAACAACATCCTCAAACACAATGGCGCAATGGGACCATACGTGGACCGCAGCAACTACGGGATCAATCGCGCCCCTCCGGCAGGCTGTTCAGTTGACCAGGTGATCATGATCAAACGCCACGGGGAGCGATACCCTCTCGCAAGCGAAGGACCAAAGATAGAAAAGGCGTTGCAAAAGGTCAAGAAAGCCGTGTTCGACGAGCCTCACGCCGATGGTGATCTGGACTTTGTCAAGAATTGGACCTACTTCGTCCCTTCAAGTTGCTACTATGACAAGGAAACCACCACTGGACCGTACAACGGTATTCAGGACGCCTATAAGCACGGCATGGACGCGCGCAACCGATACGGCCATCTCTGGGACGAAGAGACGATTGTGCCTCTGTTCGCTAGTGACGCCGGCCGCATCGTGGACACGGCTCGAATGTTCGGGGAAGGGTTCTTCGGTGATGACGAGTATAAGACGAAGGCGGCTATCAATATCATCCCCGAATCGGCTCGTCAGGGCGCGAACGCCCTATCTCGTACATGTCATGCTCGCGACCACCATGCGCAGCGCATATGTGATGCATGGCCGCAGTCATTGCCTCAGCTTGAGCTTGCGACGCAGCGGCTCAACGGCCAGTATCTCGGTCTGGACTTGACGTCGACGGATATATTCTGGTTGATGAGTAGGTCGCGCCTTTGGCAGCTGCTGGCTTGTTTGCAGTTTACTAATCTCACAAGCAATGTCATCCTATGAACCCAGCGTCCGTGGACATTCGGATTGGACGGGGGTGTTCACCATGGATGAATGGGTCAGCTTTGGGTATATCTGGGATCTACACTTTTACTATTGCGCC